AGTGCATTTTTGAGATTAGGATCCAGTTCAATCAGGGTTGCCTTTGTGTATTAGGGCTTTGGGTGCGAGTGGGATGGGGTGCTTTAATCTCCTCTGGTGCCGATTTGCATTGGAGCGTTGCCTCATGCTGCTCTCCATCACAAGGGGCTGTTGAGTTGTACATCCTGTTTCATCTCCTCTGGCAGGCTGCTCATGTGTCTGGGGAAACAAAGTGAGACTGAGTTTCTGTCAAAAGTTCCATTGTGCATTGAATTGGGAAAATAATAAGCCATTATTAAAAAAAATCAGAACGATGCAAGGCCCACATCATTACATCGTAGTATCTTTTTTCTTCTGACTAGTGAAGATATTATGTAAAAAATAACAATGTAAAAAACAATCTCTGTAAAATCTCTGAAAAAATTAGATATACAGTAGTAATGTTATAGAGATTTTAGAGTTGAAGGACATTGTTAGACATGACACTTGAGCAGAATAATGTGACCAATGTTAAATAATGTTCTTATAGTTTCACATTGCATATAAACAGTATATATAGAATAACATGACCTGAATCTTGACCTGGGACAAAATGTAAAGTTGTCTCCCCCTCTTATCAGTGGCCCTGTATGTATGTATTATAATATTTATTGTGGGCTGTTTATGCTTTGTTCTCAAAAAATGCATCCATTAAAGATCAATTTATGATCTTTGTATAAAATGCAACTGGTGGGAGTAGAGCAGCGATTCTACAATGACTTTGAGCGTGGCTCCAGCAGTGGATCAACCATTGGCTTTGAACATGGTTTGAGCAATAGTTCCATCTCTAAAATGTGACTGGATAATCATTCATTTTAGTTAGTATACTTAGTATATACCCATTTAGGGGTTTTCGTAGGTCACAAGCTAAAGTGAAACTTGTGTCGGTCTTCAACTAGATAGTCTTTGAAGCATGTGGTGCATCACGGGAGGTCTGGGAGGAGAGAGAAAAACAGGAACAGCGCCAGTGGCTAGGAGTAAGCAAGCATCCCCCCCTGACAAGTGTAAGAAAATAAACCAAGTAGCCAAACCCACATTCCCAATGTAGAGCGTCTAAGCTCAGTAGCCCAATGATGAAGCTGTCTGATCCATGTTGTATCAATCTGATACTTTTTTGTAATCCTATTGACCTTTGCAGACTATGGAGCATTTCATGACCTTTGTTTGTGTGAAAATCCCTCTGTGTTACAATATAATATCAGCCAGGGAGGGAAAACTTCCATATGCCACAGTACTACCCAGCCCACCCGCAGCCTGGAGGCTTTAGTGCGATGAGTCCTTGTAAACTCTGGCAGCCCTGAAAGCATGCCGATGCCATGAAACCAAAGATGGAACGAAATAATCATGATTTGGAGGAATCAAATGTAAAATTTGAAGACTCGGGCAATGAAAGTCAGGTAAAACTGCTTGGTGAAGTTTTGCTGGTTAAGTTAGTTAAGAACCCTCTTGAGTCAGCAGCATACCAGCATCCCATACTGGCCACCAGTATCCCAAACTGTCCTGCATGAAACTTTCGTTTGCACTGTGTACTTTCACAAAACAATATTCTAAAATAGTGAGTTATAAATTGTAGGTTCCAATGTCTTTGTGAGAGTTTGAGAACAAAGGACACTCATTAACACAGACAGCTTCTGTTTGCCCAGCCAATTAACTGCTGTGTGCTTTTGCTGCATATTTCAGAAAGACAGCTGTTCCTCATCTAGCCAGGAGTTCTAGTTGTCGGTCCGGTCCTCTATTGGCCAGTCTAGAATTCCCTCCACAAGCAACACTGCATATGTCCTGCTCATAAACCTTTAGCACTTCCATGTGGGTGTAAAGTCCCTCTCCTCTCATCTCTACATGACGCCTCCGCTAACCTCTGCGGCCAGTTTACATCTACATTATTAAGTGTCAGTTTGACAACTGCTTTAAACTCCAGCCATATTTTCCCCTTCCATTCTATTGCTAATGGGACCTTCAAACTCATTGCCCTTGAAACTGCACGATCACTTGCATTTTTTTTTGGAAATTGTGTGGCTTGTGTATTTAGGTTTGTTTAAAGCAATATGTTTGGAGCTTTTTGACATGTTGAGTCATGATGTTATTGTGGGTAGTAAAAGTTTAAGGGCAACTCCTGGAATCATGCTTTTTGGCACAAATTTTCTATCCTAAAGATACAATGCGGTTATGGTGTTCCATTGAATTGCCAATTCTATGCCACCATGTGGCAAAATGAAGCAAACCTAAGATCTGATAAGGCTGTAAAAGAAGTACCTGCTAATTGCATAATGGGAATTAGGCATTCTGAGCTATCGAAAGGTAGCAGATATGAGGAATTGTTCTTGGGCTTTGTTGTGTCGTGCCAATGTGCCACCCTTCACTCACCCTATCGCTGCCTTCCCGCAGCTTCAACAGATAAGCAGGCAGGAAACAAGAAATGGATTTATTTGATGCTCCGTAATAGCACGGTCTGGAAAAAGTGGGCAGACAAGTGAGAGGCAACCCCTTAATGAGAATCCTCAAAGGGAACAAGGCAGAGGGCAAAGCAATGACTCCCATACTAAAGATATTTAGAGAGGAGATATTTCACAAGCCTGCACAACTGAGATTCCTCACAAAGCATCGTCTTCCGAGGGTTTCTCAAAAAACAGAGCTATAAAATGACCTTTTGAGAAGTTCAGCCTGAATTCAGGCATTTACCCTCCTTGCAATTCTTCTTTCTTTTTTTGATATCTAACATATGTTTGAGAATGATAATCATGTTTGTTCAATGGACACAATTAAATCGGTTCAAAGAAATGATAGTGTATGCGGGGAGTTGTATTGAATATAAAACATTATGAATGCAATGCAATACATTACATTTTAATTGAAAGTGAAGAGAATATAATTACCCCTTTTTTAAAGTTGAAAAAAATCTATAGAATGGTAATCAGGATGATGAAATCAGCAGACATTCAAGTTAGTTCACACTACAAGGTGACCGGAGATTTTTCTTTGATCTAAGACTGACGAAAGTGATGCCTAACTTATTCAAAAAGTTATTCTACTCCCATTCTGTCATTTTAAAATGATAGATCACATTATAAAGTGTCCTGTTTGGATTTAAAAGTCTGTTTTTGGTCGCTTGGCAGACATCAAATTAACTGAAAGTGTTCCTGTAGCAACATTGGTGCTATCAAAGATATTAATATAATATTTCTACAATTTTGTCATTGCTTATAAGCTTACAAGTTATTATCTGTAAAGATAGAAACATGCTTTCTCTAAGCAGGACATTTGCAGTCAAATTTGCGACTGCATGTCACCCTATCTACTGAACTAATCCTAATGGGCACGTCTGTGTTATAGCAAACAGTCGCCGCTGTCACCGTCCTCCTCTCTTGAACGCAACAGCCTTTCTCTTTCCATTCTACTCAACACTGCTGCATCACAGGCTTTGACATCGGAGTAAATGTAAAATTCATGGATTTGGTTTGCCCTGACCGTGTGGATTAAGCTACAGGGGTAGTTAGTCAGGTCAGTGGAAGAAAGAGAGATTGCTTTTTCCGACCCCTGTGCATTGTCGGAGTCACGACGCCGTAATGAAAGTCAAAGAGACGCAGTGATGTTTTCTCCGAGTTTTGTTTGTTTGACTGTTTGTGTATTCTGAACCTTCTTTTTTCTTATGTTTCTTTCATTGTTGCAGCTGTCGCATGACAGCGGACATCTATAGGGCATTACTCGTGGTTGCGACATGAAGAAATGTATTTTCTTTTGATGTCAAAGCCCATAACAACACGCCTTAGGGTGTGAAAAAGATTCTGTAGAAAAATAACCACATCTTCCTTTTCTTGTGAAAAACATGGTAATGACCGAACTGATTTTAAGTAGAAACATAAACAGACCTGCTATTTTCTCATCTCATGCAAACCAAAAACCAATTGTGTTTGATATTCTTAGCCAAAATACATTCATTCATAGGTTTTTTTTTTTTTTTTTCACACACAATCTCATATAATCCAATGTGACAAACACAATCTTTCAAGAGACTCTCCTCACATTTTTTCGCACATGAACACCACCAACATGTCCTGTCTACCAGTGGAAAACACAACGGTCAAAGATTGCGTGCGTGTACCGCAAGTGTAGTGTAGATGAGAAAACAATGGAAATCACCACAATAAAATACAAAAACATGATCTGTATTGGTCTTAAAAGTAAGTTGCTGGGTTCACATTTGAGACTAAAATAGATGTGTGCAAACGTTAAAATGTATTTAGGAGCATGTGTGCAAATAAAAAAGTCTCTGCATGACCTAAAAAAAGTAAAAAAAGTTTCATAAAAAGTCTTTGTTACACTTTACAATAAGGTTCACTTGTTAACATTAGTTAATGTATTAACTAACACGAACCAACTATTAGCAATCCATTTGTCACTGTATTTGTTAATCTTTGTAAACGTTAGTTAATACAAATACAGCTGTTCATTGTTAGTTCATGTTAGTTCACAGTGCATTAACGTCTTAATTATCATTTTTAAGAGGTCCTCAATTTAGGGATGGACAAACAGGAATCACGATACAGTCTAATGTGATTATTAAACTTCAAAAGGCTATGATTTTATTTAAATATGACATAGTTCAAAGTAAAAATTCAGCACTGTTGCACATTCTACATATTAATTATGGCAATGTTTACCTGGTGTTTATATTGTAATATGTTGTAGATGGTTGTAAGAGTGCATATTTGTTCTCCCTCATCTTTTTGAATGAAAAGCCGGCAACAGCAAAGCATAGACATTTCAAAATAAGAGTCCTATTAGAAGTCCCCCATTAAGTTTTTCCCCCCTTCATATTTTGATTATGCAATAAACCAATGTAAACTGAATATTGATACATTTCCCTTATAGTTCTTTAAATGCACTCCTAAATTTTTCAACTTAGGAGCATGTGCATGGAAAAAAGTACATTGAAAGCCATGTGTTGCAATCGTGATGACCTCATGATGATTCTGTTTCCCCAGGTGCCAGGATCCAGTATGAAAGGATAGGAAGTGATGTCACTATGCAATGCGGCTCGCTGGACAACGACGCTTCTGTAACGTGGAAGGTGAATGGCACGGACGTGAAGGCCCGCCGGCGAGAAGAAGGACCGCGGCTCATCCTGATGGAGGTGAACATGAGTAGCAACGGCTTATACAGCTGCTTCCAGAACCCCGACGGCCAGCGCCGCGACCAGATCAATCTCCGTGTCGGACGTAAGTAGTGACTGTTTATCCCAATTTCTTCTTCCTAATATTCACTACACCCTTCCCAGAACTTCCAATAACCCTGGACAGTGTTTACCCCAACACTTCATTTTGGAAACAAGCACTGTGGTCGTTTCCGCCACTTGCTACCTTGTCATCTCATAAAGGCCAATAACCTCTTGTTTGGATCTCTCCACTGTGTATTTGAAGAGTCTAATTATTAACAACAAACGTCATTGTTTGACCCTGACCGCTCCTCGGTTCTCCTCCGGCCCCTGATCCCAAACCTTGTCTTCTCCAGCAAGCAGCTGCTTCTATCTGTGTGGGAGTCACTGGGGTGCAAGTTTTACATCTTATCTATTTGTCGATGGGATTAAATTGTCGTGCTTGATCATTTTTACGAGGATATACAACATGATGTGAGAGAAGATAGTAAGCCTCGTCCAGATGTGCACAATACAACAGGGTCATTATGTAGGACTTCTGAGTGGCCCCCAAAAAACCTATTCGGACATTCAATTACTTTTAAGTTGTGTATTAAATATCTGTATAGCTGTATATTAAAGGGGTAGTTGATTATGATTTCACTTTTTTAACTTTAGTTAGTGTGTAATGTTGCTGTTTGAGCATAAACAACATCTGCAAAGTTATGATGCTCAAAGTTCGAAGCAAAGGGATATATTTAGTTTTACAGAAATCGTTTTTTAAGGACTACAACAAATGTGTGGTAGGGACTACAATGAGCTTCTTAATGGGTTAGTGACATCCCTAACCCTAAAATGTACATAAACCTTGCCTCTGGGAACGTGATTAATAGATTATCATTACAGAATATGCTAATCAATGACTAGAAGATTGTTAACTACACATCAGCTACATACGTAAATTCATAAACTAACCATTCAGAAATGTCCTGTTGCAGTCTACGTTGTCACTTCTTCTACGTGAGTCTCTCCATCTTTGTCCGACTCCTGTTTGAACATAAAAGGCTAAAAGTTTTTAAAATGTTCAGTGCGTGTCTGTGAGGTAATCTGAGCTGCTAACACACAAGCTCTTGAAGCTCCGCCCTCTGTGCCGGGAGCAGCAGCTCATTTGCATTTAAAGGGACACGCTCTGGGGACATCAGAGACTTATTTTACATCTTGTGAAAATGGCATTATAGGACCCCTTTAAATGTGTTCAGATAGGCTGTGCATGAACATTTAGAACAAAGGTGGGCGACGTGTTAGACTTTGGCAGATTCATGGTAGAATTGGTAGATTATTTTCCGCAACTCCCATATAACCCCACAGCTAAATTATAAACTGCTATGCAGTAGCAAATGTGCAAAGCACTGTAATCAATATGATGTGACGAGATGCTACCCGTAACGCCGCCTGACAGCAATTTCATTGACTAATCAAATTAGACGAATGAAGAGGGGAAAAGTGGAGATGAGTCCTCTTATGAGAACATGATGAGGAATGCACTTCATCACCCGCCTCTGCGTACTTCCACGGCCGCTGAAAATGCCTGAAAGAAATGTAAGCGACATCACATGATTAATAAAAATAGTCTAGTTTCTCTAAAGGAATTTCATTTTACATACATTAAAAATGCAACATTTCATTGAGCATGATTGCGGTTTTTACTTGCCAAAAACTATGGCAAGTTTTTACTTTATTTCCATTTATTCTGTCTGTCTCTGCAAGAAAATAATGTGAACTAAATCTCGATTGTTTCTCCTAAGATAAAATGGAGAGCAAATTAAGACTTAACTTGAAGGGATAGTTTACTTAGTCACATGTCGTTCCAAACCTGTATCACTTTCAAACTAGTTTGGAAAGAAACAATGGTGAGTAAATGATGACAGAACTTAAAATTTGGCGTAAACCATCCATTCAAGACATTAATCACACATGTCTCCGTTGTTTACTTCTGGTACCGTGCTAACATCTGATTCAGGTGATCTAAACACAAGTGTAGCCGAGACAGATTGCCATTTACACCTGGTAGTGACATCTTAAATGTGTCTCATGTGATCAGATCTCATAACCACATACTCCACCTACTACGTCAGTGTGTTACTGCATTGTTGATAAAGCAAAAACTGTTAAAAAGTCAGCACATTGTGACACACCACATTTAAACAAGCAAAGGTGTAAACAATATGTCATTGTGTGGCTTTGCTCCGCAAAAAAAAAACAGATTGTGAGCTTATGTCTGGTGGGCTAGTGGCCGTGTGGCCGCACTTCCTCTCTCACAGCGGCTGGGTCATGGGCAAGACGGCTCAGCTAACAAGATGCGTTCTGCAGCTAAGTGTCTGAATGAGAATGGCATGGTCCCAATCCCACAGACAGGGAGAGGCTTCCTCCGCAAGTACGTCAAACACTCTGCCTATCTGTGACAGGAACGCTTGCCAGGAATTAGAGGGGAAGAATTGGGTCTGGCCATTTACAAGGATTCCTACAGCTCCTCTAAGCAGTCTTTAGTGGTCTGTCATAACCAAAACAGTTTGTAGGTCAACTTTCACTGAGAAACCATAGGAAATAAGTTATGATTTCCTTGATAATTACACTGGTTTTGTTTGTGCCCACGGATGGTTCAAGATAGCTACCGCCTCTCTTTCTTCACCATTGTTCTAGGGATCCCTGCCTACAGTTAAATCCTCATTGTTACAATGTTTATTAAATAGTAATATGTTCATATTGTCTGTGGATTTTGTTGCACTGCACAGCATTTCGGCTTTCAATATGTAGCTGGAAACAAGAAATTATAAAAACAAATGAAAGACAAGGAGTGAAATCAGTAAACATCACAAACTTGATGCGAACCTATATCATCCACACAAGCACCATGGCTCAACGTCTCCAGCGCATTAACATCAATTATTGTCCACAACTCTGAATAGTCTTTGTGGGGCATCTATTCTTACCCACTAGTACCAGATCCAACACTTTTTAAGTGGCATTGAAAAGGAAGTAGCGCCATTTCTTTTTGTTAGGGATGCACCGAAATTAAAATTTTGGTCTGAAACCGAAACACCAGGATGCACTTGGCCGAAAAACCAAAACCAAAAATAAATTATTAATTAATAATCAAGTAATTAATTTAACTTATTTAATAATAAAACACTCAAATAGCTGAAACTGAGTTGTACAAATATTTAAATTCCACACAAGGCAGTTTTTATATCATATTTTTAATAACAGAATTGTTTCTACCTCATTTTTATGGTGAAATAAACAATTAAACGACAATAAACTCTAATAACTTGTTTTCATGACATATTCCTTCAAACACATTAAATAATGAAGACATCACTAACAGGTTAAGTAAAAATATAATGAATAGAGGACTCTGTTACACAGTGCATATATTTAGCAAAATGCTCTTCTCTGGAGGTATATTTATGAAAATGTTGTGAAAATGATCAAAAATGCTGGCGCTGACTGGAAACTTAAAAAAGAGTTAAACAGCACCAAAACTGCTGACAGTTTCAGTAAATTTAGTAAAAGTTAAGAATCTTCAAGAATTCAAGTACCTTTAACAAGATCCACAACTACATTTCTTAAGTGTGACCAGATTTTCTAGATGTCTTTTTTACATGATGTGCTCGATTGTAATGACTGAGTATATGAAACCCCCATGATTTTGGAATAAATAATGAGCTCATCTATCATACTTTCATAAAGCTGTCTTGAAACACTCAGTATGATTAATACAGTCCTCTGTAGCATTATCGGTTGGCAGGAAATATGATGCATAAGCATAGCAAAGTTTACTAATAATGCTAAACTTATGTGAGCGTAGTTTGCTACTTAAATTTGGTCTTTCATTTACTCCTGAAAGTTGTCTAACCAAATGTCTCACATTCACCAAATGTATCCATGAATTGACATCACTGGCAGGTCAAATCCAATAGTTTGCCATTCCACAAAAACTAATGACTACCAAGACATTTTCTATAAAAAAAACAAAAACAAAAAAAAAACACTGTTGATCTTCACTGAAGCATAAAATAACACAGAAAGTAATGCCAGCCTGATGAGCATTTTCATAAAAAGTATAAGGGCATACAAAAACATCTTCACCAGTAAGTTACCTCTTGTAAAGTTCAAAACCTGCACCATGCTTTTCCCTGCTGTTGATTTTCTGTTGCTTGTGTTCCGTCTCCATTTAGCTGTAAGAAACAAGAGAAAGCCATTAAAGTGGCATGTTTTGTCTGCCCTGGGAAAAAAAGCTGCTGTCCTGCAGGATAAAGTGCTGGGTCTACAGTAAGCAACGCTGAGGGTTCAGGCAGGACCACAAAGTATGCGAGGGTAAGCGCGCTGTGCCGTTGTCAGAGATAGCATGCTCGTGTTGGGCTGCTTTGCGGTGGTTGTCAGGGAGGAGGTTGGAGAGAGAAGACACATGTCGAGGTCATCACTTCGTTGCTTGAGTGCTCACGATGCCGTAACTATTAAACTTTTATTATCTTACTGCGAGCAGAGACAAACAAAAGCATTAAACTAGTACCTACAGCGCTTGTGTGGCGTGAAACCTGGGATAATCAAAAAGTGAAAAATAAGAAGTTATTTTCTGGTATTCCAAATATATTTTTCATTCATTCGCCCTTGTGCCATTCCAAACTTGTCTTTCTTCCATGAAACACAAACGGGGATATTTTGAAGAACATCTGATTTGATATTTCCATATGATGAAAGCATATTGTGTATCTGAATTGAAAGCCAAAGAAACACAATTAAGGCCCATTCATGTCGAAGACAATAACTGTAATAACCATAATTATAAAGTTTGATTAATTGTTCTGATCCTATGAAAATAGCGAAGTCCACACACACAGCTATAACGAAAACCGCACAGAGGAACGATGTCACATTCAGAACGATGTTTTTCCAGCCGAGGAATGATAAAAACAATGACAGCCAATCAGAATTCACACGACTTTAAAGAACGTGAGAATTTAAAGTGGCAGACGACAAAACTTGAAATGAACATTACAAATGTTATTGTAGATTGATGTGGGT